ATTTAGTACACTTCTAAATTTGGGGTATTTATTCAATTTTTATTTGCGTTTATGCCGGGTAGTTAGACATTCCGGAGACATTGTGGATGGTCATCACCCCGCCAGATTTAGGATTATTGACTTAGAATAAGTATTAATGTTGTCAAAGTCGTATTCCTAGGTCTCAGTGACTGTTAAGATTGTAGAATTTAAAGCTTATTGCAGTTTCGTTCTATTGACATAGCTTTCAAACATTCAAACCCTCGACAAAGCCAACATTAAACAAAAGTTAAAAAAAAAAAATTGCGTGCCTCATTATGTACAATACATATTCTTAAGGATTTGAATTATTTAGTAAACAGAATAAGTAAATCTTAAGTTTTAAATCAAACAAATATTTTCTTGAGAAATTTATTTTGTCTAAAGAATACATAACACAAGTGTTATAGATAAGAAACAAGACTATACATGCCTATTGAACCACTTACAATTTTGTTTTATATTGTTATGGTATTTTTGAGTTATAGGAAATAATTCCGATTACGTAAAAACAAGTACTTAACTAACAAAACAATGCCTACAAACCAATTGAGACAACCCTTGAATTCAAATGCTGCTTTTGTAAATTTTTACACTATATAATTGTTGTAAATTGCATCATGTGACTCTTTTGGAATACCGATGTTCATATACACAGTATATATATTCCTTTATAACCAATATAAGAAATAAAATAAGGATGTGAAATACAAAATACTGGTTATGTGCACATAGCCATTTGAGAGAGAGAGAGAGAGAGAGTTTTCTATATTTAATAAAATATGATTGCAATAAAATTCAAAGGATTGACTATACTCAGAGATAACTTTTTTTTTACTTGTTCTTAGCTGTGTTTTCAAATAGTGCTGTGTTTAACGGTATTTATTTTTTTTTAATATGTAATTATCAAAATATACTTGTATATTCATGTACATATATATCGCAAAAAAAAAAATCTATTTATTTATTGGGGTCAAAGTAAATTATAACATATTTAAATGTATTCTACTCGTAAATGCATATGCGTGTATACAATTAATGCTTAATTGCCAATTTAATCCTTTGATATTGTATCTGAAATGAGATAAGTATACATGGTCATTACAGATTCATATATAATTCAAATGTAAATCCACCACTAAGTTATCAAATCGCACTCTCTAAAAGCGACATTAGAAGTGCTCCCCACACGAAAACATCTGTTGTGAGCGTTCGGCGGCTAAGAGCCCATGTTTTACTTGGGGATGAGTTAGTATATCTTCATAATTATTTCTTCCTCATTTACACATACAATTATTTTGTACAAGTATATATTCTATAAAGTTGTTAAATGATAAGTAGGGTATGACAACTGATGCGTTTAGTGACGACGAGTGTCATTCTGTCATATAGCTGACTAAAGTGGCCACAGTACAGATTCTTATTATTAAGTAAAACAAAGGAACTAGGACAGGACCGTCACTAGCTTTCTGGAAAGGGGGAGGGTCTGGAGTGTTTTTTTTTTAAATCACTATTATTAATAGGTACCATTTGCTGGGTTCTGAAAGACAGTTTTGCAACATTAGATAGAAGAAATTTAACAGCACATTACTAATGAATTAATTTTGTTTCAAAAATGATATTTTGCCCCAAACGGATCCTACTTCACCTTTCCGACCGCTTTAAATTTTTCAATTTTTTTTTTCAAGATTATGATTGACAAATTTCAAAGCAGCTCATCTGCATGTGTAATGTAACAATAACTAAATACGAGTATATGTCGATTTGATATTAATATGTAATTAAGTTCTATCAGTCAACTTCCCTATTCGATTTCTTTTTCTAAATAATTTCCCCTAATCAAAAATAAATTAATGACTTTAATCAGATATTGTTGGTTCCGATTTCCATGAAACAGCTGCAAAGAGTGAAAAATAAAATGTAAATAGATCTTTAGAAAAAATTAACTATTGCTCGTACAATGCGGGGCCTAACGCAACAAAAGTACCAAATTTTGTTTTCAATATATAAATGTTGCATTTTATAAAGATTCGCATTATTTTTAGTAGATTTTGTCAGTATGCAGTCTGATATAATTTTGATGTAAATATTTCTTCTTTTCATTTAGACATTTGCATGAGATTTCGCTCAGACCGAGATGTCCCTAGATAAAGCGCTTTGAAGCTCTTTGTAAATTCTAGATTTCGTCGACTGGTATAATTAAAAATAAGTTTATCTTTCTCACGTTTGAATCCGGAGCTAGTTTCTGCATTTTTAACACGAGTATGCTAGTCTTATCTACGAGGAATCGTTCGTGGAAGCAACACTGGACTGTCGCGTAGTGAAGCCGTTCCGTGTAATGCTTTGTTGTCAGTTCTATCAGTCTATTAAAAAATATCAACACTTATATTAACTCGTATGTGATAAAAATATTTAAATATTATTAAAGTTTATCGCATTAAATATCAATTCGAATTTGAATAATTTCAATTATAAAGTCTTT